GCAGGAGGCCGTCGCAGCCGGAAATGGAGCTCGGGAGCCTGTTTTCATTGGCAGAGCGCTCAGGCCACCACAGACACCGACACTAATGACATTAAGCTGGCCATGCCCCCCCCGAGATCAAACACAACCCTGATGCGTCAACCCTCAATGAAATCAAGTTTGACACCCCTGTCCTAGAGGCAAACTAAGTGATTCACTCAGTCTCGGTTCTATCACTATCTTTGTCTCCCCAAAGAGGAACATAAGGCCTCTCACTTCATAAGCAAATATAATTCTTGTATCAACCAGTAGAAGTCATTAGAACAGTAACAGCTAAGAAAATTCTAAACTCCATCTGATTTTAAATGGAGGGGAAAAAAACAGCTAATAAAAACAAACAAACCAGAATGATCAAGAGAATAGGAGGAATTTAAAACAAGACACCTGGAAGGAGTCTTTTTGCAGTAAAAAGGCCATGATTTGCAAAGCTCCCAAATAAATGCCACTGAAAAAGCACCTCATTACAGAAGATTAGCTCTAAAAGCTACCCAACTTTGGAAATTCTCCGGTGGAGCCCAAGTGTCTTTCTGTTCTTACAGGAGGCACATTTGGGGATCAAGCAAGCCGCGGAACAGCCGCGGCGGCTCCCTAAAAGAGACGAGCGTCATTCCTTGTCGGATGGGAGGGAAATGGGCTCTTTCGGGTACTGTGTTTCTCTGGCTCAAGTAGGGACGTTGCTCACCCATCCCGCCGGGAGGAAACCACGGAGCGGTTCTGCAGAAGGCGAAGGTTCAAAGGGGGCTTAACCGAGCCCCTCTCCTTGCCTAGAGCGCAAACAACACGATCTTCCAGTCCATTAGGGAAGCAAAAGTAGAACTCAATAAAGCCTGGATTTTTTGCTAATGTCACCTCCTCGCAAGACACCGAAGAGAAAGCAGCAGATGGCAACCAAATATTTCCACAGCAATTTTTGCAAAATACGCACTATGCCGGGCACACACAAAACGGTTTGGGATGAAAGGACCATAACGAGCCATATGTTGTTAGTTGTTTTATTTGTAGCAACATGGCGTACAACAAGGTCCAATGGCAACGGAGAATACAGCCCCAGGTAGAGGCAGCCACAGAAGACACACCGGAGATAGCAATAACTAAGCAAACAGGAGAGGAAGCCGCTGCGGATAGCAATTAACTGCCTCCAAGAAAGCCATCAAGTAGCTGAGAAGATACTTAAGCCAGGGAAATTTCAGGCTCTCATTAGGGAGAAGATAACCTAGAAACCAAACGGCATCCATACACATTAACATATTTTTTGACGCACTTAAGTGGCAGGAGAAACAATGTCATGCTGATGCAAAATGACAGGCTAATTCAACAACTAGGAAGCACAGCAGCAGATGTTATGAGCGAAGCCATGATGAAACCCATAATTCCTCAGAGCAGGTTCTGCCCAGGACTGCAATCCATGCTGGTTACTGGTACAGAGATGTCAGCTGAGGGGCAAAGGGCAGCGGGGAAGATGGGGCTGGCCTTGCAGGCCATTTTGAGAGTCCGGCCACCTTCAACTCTATAACCCCGTATCTGGGGAGGGGTGCCCAAAATGGTCCCATTATAGACACTGTTTTGGTACGATGATCTCATAAGACAGCCTATCTAAAATCAAAGGTGTATAAAACAATGGCATGCCCAGTAGCTTTATATGGCACTGGATGAATGCACGGAGTGCTTTTTAGATGCCATGGAGGTGTTTCCCTTGACCATGTCAGCAATGACCCAATACAGCAGCCTACTGGGCATTGCACCAAATGCGGGAGAAACGCCTAGAGTGGCATGGCAACGTCCTACGAGCAGCACCGCACACCGGTGCCTTCCACTTTAACACAAGATGTCAAGCGCCCAAGTGGAAGGACCAAGCAAAGATGGCAAGACACAATAAATGCAGACGTGAACATTGCCCAGTTGGACCTGGAGGCTGTGTCTGATCATGGAAGATGGCCTTCGTCAATCCAAAAAGCGCACCTTGCACCTGTGGGTGCTTGGAAGATGATGATGAACTTGTAAGACGGAGGAGGAGAGGAGAGGAGAGAACAAAATTACTAAACAATAGAACAGAACACAGCAGAACAGAACAGAATTCTTTATTGGTCAAGTGTGATAGGCACACCCAAGGAATTTGTCTCCAGTGCATAAGCTCTCAGTGTACATACAAACAACAAAGTGATAGGTTATCGATCAGAAATCATAGTTACAATCATTCATCATAAGATGCATACAACAAGTAATTAAATCATAAGATACCAATAGAAGATAATAGAGAAGATGAGAAAAGATAATAACAATACAGCCTATTCACAGGCCAGCATTGTTCCCGCATAATAAAAATGGAGAGAGAGGGGGGGTCCTCTCCAGTGTGAAAGGACCCTAAGCTTAATGCTCGGAGGTACTGAACTGCAGGCATCTTCCAGGGTCTGACCCCAGGAAAGTCCAGGTTAAGCCTTCTGAGCCCTGAGCTGCCCTCCAACCTTCTCCCATGAAGACAATGGCCAGGTGGTGGGTTCCCTGCCTCCAGAGAAAGTAACAAGTCCATAACCAATTTAGTACCGTATTGACAAAGAAGGTCTGATTCCCACAAACAGAGATTCCTGCTTTTAACCCTACAAATCTGAAAATTAAAATCTCAGCAGATGAAGCCTCCAGGTACTTTATATTTTTCATTTAATTTGAGCAATATAATTGCAGCGCGTCCAAAGAGCACAGTGAGGTCAGGATGGTAATTAAAGCTAGACGGTAGAAATATGTGCTCTCAAGATGTGATTAAATAATAAAATATTACTTAGCTAAAGTTTATCATTAAACTTGCATTGGTGCATAAATATTTAACTGTGCGATATCTGAACATAAACCAAGATGTAGTTGTCACTGTTTTAAATAAATGATGCAAGGATAAACTGCCCCCGCTCCCGTCTCTCTGGCAAGCAATACTCACATTCAAAAGCTGTTGTGGTTGCATCAGGAAGAACCTGACTGATCACGTCCTGTAACATTAAAAATGAAGGCCGTTAGTTATATTCGTAACGGAAGACTTTTTACAGAATAATTAATATTCAGCTTTGCCTAGCATGTTAACTCGGGCTACTGAGGGAAGAAGTGACGCCTCACATACTTCATACTTGGAAGAGACCCTCGTGTAGGATTGAGAAATGCCTCTCTTTACCACCCAGAGTTGTTACTCGGCTGATGTGGAGCAGCAGCTCCCAGGGGGGTGTTTGCAAACTCCGCTCATTTGCCTATCGCGCAGTTTTCACCTGACGTAGGCGAGGAAGACTCCAGTCTTTGTCATAAACTCTCTTGTTTCTCTAGAGCAGGGCGAGGGAGCTTCTATGACTTGAGGACTTCAACTCCCAGAATTCCTAAGCTGGCCATGCGGGCTCAGGAATTCTGGGAGTTGACGTCCACAAGTCAGGGCCATAGCTCTCCACCTCTGCTCTAACGTAAGGCGGAAAGGAGGAGAACTCTATGGTCTTTTCCATTCATTGGCCTTTGCCTCTCTAGGCAGCACTTTCAACTTTCAGGCGGGTGGACCTCGGAATTCTGGGATCTGAGGTCCAAACATCCTAAAGTTGCTGAGGTTGAGTGCTCTACTCCAATGTCCATTGCTCTTCTGCATTCAGCCAAGTTTGGAGGTGCCAACAGGGTGTCAAACTCGGGTTTCATTGAGGGCCGCATCAGGGTTGCGTTCAACCTGGGGGGGCGGGGGGGGGCGCAGCCAGCTTGACGTCACTCATGTCGGGGGCACCTGTGGTGGCCAGAGCACTCTGCCAGAGAAAACGAGCTCCTGAGCACCGTTTTTGGCTACGATGTCCTCCTGCAACCCTCTGCCAGCGAAAACATTTTTGCTGGCAGAGGCACCATGGGCCAATCCTTTGGTGTTTCCAGGGCAGCCCCATGTGTCAACTCCTAAAACATTTCTATGGTCTTTTTAGAGTTGCCAACAGAATGGGAGGGGGGAGCAGTGCGGCAGCTTGCACACCTAAACTGCATTCCATACATGTTTTCAAAGATAGTTTCTAGGTGACTGACGTTTCTGCCACACAAAATTCTAATTGGAGAATATGATTGATGACTCTTGGCTATGGAGGTGTCCCATTGGAGAATATGAATTATGATACACCCAGGGGGTGGGGGAAACCAGGGTCAAAGGTGGCAGTGGATGATGTGTCTCAGAGTTGGCTGCACCCAGGTAGTGACGGACAGTTTAACTCCTAATAAATCCTTTTGAAGTTTTGGAAGTTTGGCTCAAGACTCATGATTTAATTGGGGTAACTGCTGGAATCCTGACACTGCAGGCCAGATCTAAGCACCCTGGGGGCTGGATCGAGTCCCCAGGGCTTGAGTTTGAAACCCCTGTGCCAAATGCTTTCCAGAAATGGGTCGCCCTTTGAAAAAGCATCGCACCAGCTACTTTAAACACTCACTTTATCAGTGAGATGGGTGGCATACAAATACATGGATACCTGCATACAATATCTAACAACCTTCCAATGCAATATTAAAGGTCCAGTTCAGGTAGTCTTTGACTTATAACCATTCATTTAGAGACTGTTCAAAGATACAACGGCGTTGAAAAAAACCCTTGCACTTAATGACCACTGCAGCATCCCCATGGTTACAATGATCAAAATTTGGGTGCGTGTATTCATGATAGTTGCAGCATCCTGGATCGCATGATTGCCATTTGTGACCTCCCCAGCTGGCTTCCAACAAGCAAATTCAATGGGGGAAACTGGATTTGCTTAATGACCCTGTGATTTACTTAACGACTGCTGCGATCTGCTTATCCACCATGACAAAAAAAAAAGGTTATAAAATTGGGTGTTAGCAATGGAAAATCTAGTTGTAGTTATTAATTTGAGGACTTCCTGGATTGTCAATCTGAAGTTAATTTCAACAAGGAAATTAGCTGCTGCACTTAAAGTGATGGTTTTAATGAATAAGCCAAGATGGCATTATTGCTCTGACAATATGAACCTGAAATGGCTGTGGAGGAAATCACCTTGAGCTCACAACCTATGTTCATTTGATCATGTTAAACCAATAACAGATGAAAATGTGTAGATATGTGTAATAGAAGTAACAACATAATTTCAGAACTAACACATACATGTGTATGCTTCCCTCAAACTACTTTAAATGTTATCCTAATTGTGGAAAAGGAATGAGAATAGACAAAAAAAAAGAAAAGGAATATAACTAACTCTGGTTGACACCGATTCTGTTAATTATACCTCTCCCCAGCTTTCCAAATTACCACATATGTAAATTACTCAGGAGCCAACTTTGGCTGGAGAATTCTGGGAGTTGAAGTCCACAAGTATTTTTATTTTTATATATATATGTGTGTGTGTGTGTGTGTGTGTGCATATGTGTGTGTATGTGTATGTGTATACAAAATTACTTCTTGTTTTACAGGCCTTGTGTACCCCATCCTCACCCCTTTCAACTCCATTTTGTGGTTCTCCAGACACCCAATTCTCTCTTCCATAAGCACATCATAGACACAGCCTTTTTGATAAAAGACTTGTTTCTTACAGCTTTTTTTTGGACAAATAGTTGTTTCTTTACGTTTTTAGCAGCACTTAGTCTATCTTAAAATTTCTCCACTATTTCCTTCTCTTTAGTAATCATTCCATCCAGATACAAAAATTCATCCACCTGCTCTTGTCTTTCAACTTTTACAATATCTATGACTTGCCAAGTAGTCACTCCATTTTCCTTCTCAAACACAACTGTCTGTTCTGACCAAGGCTTCCGAGACTGTAATTACGCACCTGCTTATTTAAAACAACTCTTGTTTTATTTCAAGGCTGGGAATTACATTCATTCCCAGCCCGTAATGAGTCACAAACAGTCCCTTGAGATAAGCACCCACCTTTCTCTCCTTTGAATTGCTGCCAACAACCAAAGCGCCAAATGAACTGTAAAAAAGCAACCAAAGTACAAAGTCCACACAGAGCTTCAAGGCTGAATCCGAATAGAGCAAACAACTTTGCTCCCTGCAAAGGTTTCTTTACCTTTGCACAGGCTGCCGGCGAACCACAACACTGTTGATCTTTGACGTACTTATTTTCAGGTTCCTTCTTCCTAAATTGTATAGCCTACAATCTAACATTCAGAGTCTCAGCCAACAAGGCATTGCCATAGATTCACTTTCACATCCACAGCCAATCTGTCTCTAACATCACAGCAATGATCCCTATAGCATTTATCCATAAATATGTGAAGTAACCGAGGGGAGTATCATGTATCTTTGTCTTACCTCCTACTAAACAATTGTCTCGTCATTCTAGTTACAGGTAGTCCTTGACCAACAACAGTTCATTTAGTGACCATTTGAAGTAACAGCAGCATTGGAAAAAGTGAATTATGATCGTTTTTCACACAACCATTGTAGCATCCTTGTGGCCATGTGATTAAAATTCAGCCGCTTGGCAACTGACTCATATTTATAATGGCTGCAATATCACCTTTGTGATCACCTTTTACGAACTTCTAATAAGCAAAGTCAGTAGGGAAATCCGATTCACTTAATAACCGTGTTACTAGCTTAACAACTGCAATGGTTCACTTAACACAAGGGTCTTCCAACTTGACAGCTTTAAGATTTACGGACTTCAACTCCCAGAATTCCTGAGCTAACATGACTGGAGGAGGAATTCTGGGAGTTGAAGTCCACAAGTCTTAAAGCTGTCAAGTTTGAAGACCTCTGACTTAACAACTATGGCAAGAAAGGTCTTAAGATGGGGCAAAACTCACTTAACAAATATCTTACTTAGCAACAGAAATTTTGGGCTCAATGTTGGTGATAAGTAGAGGACTACCTGTATTTTCCCCCATGCTTTCTCATCCTATCATATTGAATAATGAACAGTCAATTCCACATCGGTACAAAACAGTCCATAATTCTATCTTATTTTGATTACAAAATGCATTTTCCACATCAACAAATGTGTCATTTGCTTCATTTGCTTCCTTATATTCATTCATTTCTCAAAGATGGCTGAAAATCTGGTTTTAACATATACACACACATATATATATATATACACACATATACATACGTACACACACATATATACATATACATCTATCTATATATCTATGTATGTATGTATATGTATATATCTATATATGTATATTTATATGTGTGTGTATATGTGCGTATATATATATATATATATATATATATATATATATATATATATATACACACACACACATATATACACACACACACACACACAGTATATATACACACACACATATACATATACAGTATATACATATATACATACATATACATATACATATACATACGTACACACACACATATATATACATATACATACATACACCTATGTATGTGTATGTATATATATATATCTATGGATATGGATATGTGTATGTGTGTATGTACATATATATATACAGTATACACACACACATATACATACAGTATATACATACACACACACACACACATATATACATATACATACATCTATGTATGTATGTATGTATGTATATGTATATATCTATGGATATGGATATGTATGTGTGTGTATATACACACACACATGCACACACACACATATATATATAAAAAGAAAAATACTTGTGGACTTCCACTCCCAGAATTCTCCAGCCAGCAAAGAGTTGAAGTCCACAAGGCTTAAAGTGGGCCAAGTTTGGGGACCCCTTAACTGTAAACAGTCCCCAGCAAGGTGGGCGTTCTTTGTGAAGTTGGGGGGCGGGGGGGGGTTCCCTCTGATAGGGCTGGCTCGTCCTCGGGGCTGCGACCCATAATCCCCGACCCCGCCCGTGCCGGGCCCAGCAGAGGCCGGCCCAGCCTCCGAGGTTGCGGGGGGGGGGCGCGGGCGGCGCCAAGCCCACCGGGGAGGGGCGGGGGGTGCCTCTCCGGCCTGGGCTCCTCCGAGGGGGTCCAGCAGAGCCCCCCCTCCGCCGCAGGATGCCCCCCCGCCCCCTTCCCCGCGAGACCCTCACCAGCACGTCCCGGAAGAGCAGCTGCGGCGCGGGGTGCACGGTCCAGTCCACGGCGCCGCCGCCGTCCGGGATGCGGATGCGGATGACCAGCGCGGGCCGGGCCGGCTCCATCCCGGGGTCGCCCAGGGCCAGCAGGAGCATCCCCGGAGCGGCGGCGGCGGCGGTGGCGGCGCTCCTCTCCGCGGGACTAGGCCGCGCCAGGCCGGAAAGGCTCGGGCCGCAGGCGCCGCCCCCCCCCCCCCCGCGCGCGCCCCCCCCGCCGCCCCCCCCCCCCCCCCCCCCTCCCTCCGGGGGGGGCGCGCGCCGGCCGGCTCCGCGGACCCCCCCGCCACCAGGCCCCCCCCCCCCCCCGGCCCGCCCCCAGCTTCGTTCAATGAGCGTTTGCAGCGTCTCCTCTCCTCAGGCTTTGCCACCCAGCTAGTCCTCGACTTGCAACAGTTCATTCAGTGACCGACGGCGCTGGAAAGAGTGACTTAGGACCGGTTTTTTTCACACTTACGACCATTGCAGCATCCCCATGATCCATGGCTTGGCAACAGACTCGTATTTATGGCCGTTGCAGCATCACAGGAACGAACCCTAAAATGCATTTATCCAGAAATATGTGAAGTAACCAATGGGGTGGTGGGGAGGCTATCACGTATCTTTATCTTACCTCCTCCTACTATTAAATCCCCACCACTCTGGATCTGAACTGTACATTAGCCACCTAATAAATTGAAAGATTATGGCACGAAGCAACAGAACATAGAATAATAAGAGTTGGAAGGTCTTAAAGTTGTTACCAAGGTTGGATATACCCCTGATTTAAATAAACCTGGTTCTCCTCTTCCGACTGCTCCTCCTTATATTAGTTTACTTTATTGTCATTGCACCTCCTGCAATGACAATAAATACCATCTTCAGTGTACATTATGATATGAAAATAAATGCAAACACACATCCTTCACATTCTATACATTGAATTGAAAACCCGATATTGCATTCATATTGTGCTATACAGTAGAATTCAACAGAGCTACTGCCCTGGGATAGAAGCTGTTTTTCAGCCTATTTGTCCTTGTTTTTATTGTCCTGTACCGTCTGCCAGATGGTAATAGTTCAAAAAAAATGGGTTCCCAGGATGAGATGGATCTTTGAGGGTGTTTCGAACTTTCTTAAGGCAGCGGGAGGTCTAAAGCTCTTCCAAAGAGGGGAGAGGGCAACCCATGATCTTCTTGGCAATGACATTAACCCTCTGGAGTGCTTTCCTATCTGCCCCGGTGCAATTGGCAAACCATACAGAGGTGCAGTAAGTTAAGATACTCTCTATGGTGCAGCCGTAGAAGCTCACCAGCAGTTTTCCATCCAGTTGTTGTTTCTTTAGATCGAATCCACAATCAGATTCTCTTCTTTGCCCCTTGATAGAAAAGGAATCTGGAATGGAGAAGTGCCAAGGGACCAGCGATTCCTTTCTGGGGGGCCCAAAGTCCGCCTGGGGGCTCTTCTGGGAGTATTCACAATGTTTGTCTCCCCCCCACTTGTACCAATACCTCTTATCTTATGACCTATGCAGATAGATCTCAACTGCCAACCCCGACTGAGCCCAAAATTTCTGTGGTTAAGCAGGTTAATTTTGCCCCCCTTTACGATCTATTCTGCCACTGTTGTTAAGTGAATCACTGCAGTTGTTAAGTTAGTAACACGGTTGTTAAGTGAATCTGGCTTCTCCCTTGACTTTGCTTGTCAGGGTGGCAAAAGGGGATCAACGTGACCCTGTGATATGGCAACCATCATAAATGTGAGTCAGTTGCCAAGTGCCTGAAATTCAATCACGTGACCATGGGGATGTTACAATGGTTGTAAGTGGGAAAAATGCTCATAATTCCCTTCTTCCACTGCTGTTGTAACTTTGAATGGTCACTAAATGAACTATTGTAGGATTACCTGTAACTAGAATGATTGATCAGGGATTCGAGCTAAAGAAAGAGCAGTCTGAGGAGGAGAGCTAGGTTTATTTAAATCAGGGATATCCAACCTTGGCAACTTTTAAGGCCGGTGGACTTCAACTCCCAGAATTCCCTGTAGCTGTAGCTACATTTCTTTTTAGTTCACCTAATAACTTTTCTTCCTAATTAGACAATTCCTGATTCTTTTGAGGAAGTAGAAGGGCAATGGCAAATATATCACCATATATTTGCCATTGTTCTTCCGTTTACAAGGAAGGAAAGAAAGAAAGAGGTGAAGGGAAGGGAAAGGAGAGGAGAAAAAAAGAAAGAAAGAAAGAAAGAAAGAAAGAAAGAAAGAAAGAAAGAAA